GCACTTCTAAGGTAAAGTGATTGCTGGAGGACCTATTCAGTACCATGGTGAAAACGTAAGAGCGTGCCATATAAGTCTACTACCCAAGCTTCGCCAATTCATGTTATACCTTTTGATTAATCAGACCTCAATATCAGCCAAATCAACTCCCATTGCATAACATTAATTTCAGGAAATGTTAGGGGTGGCCTAACAAGGGAAGGATATTAGTGATCGTGACTCAGTATAAGAGGCATATCACTGCAGCTTGGAACGCTTACCTAAAACCTGACTTCCTCATCTAGTAAACGATCTTTGAAGGAATTTATCGAAATTTATTTTCGATACAGAAAAGGGTGCACAATCTGCTGTTGATTGCTCTCAAATAAGCGCATTTTTGGTGGTTAGGTATAGTAAACAAATGAGCTTCATATCTTAGAGCGAATTTATAATATCCAAGCAAAAAATGTCTACAGTACAAACTATTTTGCATGGATACAAAATTTCGTAATTTAGTTTAGAGAATCGTTTGTCACATATAAGGAAGGCAGAAGTGAATTTGGCGTTTCGAGGCATCATATAATAGTCTCCTTCTGTTTTGAAAGGCCATGGTCACTATATCCTTCTCTTGTAAGCTAAATCGTTACTTCAACAAATCTATTTTCAACTGGGATATAATCAACAGCAGGAATATAGTGTATTCTTTCTTGTGGCGTATCTCTAATTCGTTTAGAGCTGCATCTTCGGAAATTCATTAAAGGGGAGAAGGACGATGAGTGTAAGCAAAGAGGGCTTAAAATGGGTCAAAAATATTCATTCTCTCTTCAAAGGTTTTTCTGTTTTTTTTATACCTACTCAAGCTTGAAAACAGTTGGCATCAAAAGCAAGGCGAATAGGTGCTTATGGTACGCTAGGAGAAATGAGTGAAAAGAGGAAGGATGTTTGTTGATGGAGAAAATGGGGAGGAGAAGGTTTGGAATAGGGGAGGAAGTCAGCTAGGAAAGAATTCGTTTGTCATAATCATTGAAATCATTTTTAGAAAAAACCCTTTCTGTGAGCTGTTTCTTTCGATGAA